CACAACACCCATTACATTTTAAGAGAAATTGTGCATTATTTCAAGCTTGTGAATGTACAACTTTCATCATTAGCTCTTCATCTGAAATAAGTACATCTGGAACTAAAAATAGCAGATTAATGAGAGGCTGGTAAGTTTTTTCTCTCTTCCACCTCAGAAATGACTCTCAGCAGGGAGTTTATGCTCACAAAGCTTCAAAAACATTAAATTCTCAAGCACATAGTCTTCCTTCAAGTGTACTTCTTTTTCTAATTGTTTATCCAAACCATTAAACTGAAAGCCTTTCACAAGTTAAAACTGATTAACATATGATACTAAGTGGTTTTTTTGAAGGCTGCAGTTTAATCCTCTTCCCTTATTTGCTTCTTAATGCATGTGGAAAAGAGAGAGAGAGAGAGAGAGAGAGAGAGAGAGAGAGAGAGAGAGAGAGAGAGAGAGAGATAGAGAGAGGAGGTGAGGAAGGGGAGAGGGGAGAATTACATTTTACTTAGTGCGGAAGTGCTTGACCTAATTTTTTACAAAGGGCAAACTGAAGCAGAGCACCAGCAGAGAACTTAACCACATGCAGCCCTCGGTATGGATGGCTGCACAGTGTAGGATTTGGTAGAACCCAAAGACTCTCGAAAGTGCAAAATTTCATCAACAGGCGATAGAATACCACTTGAGTGAATGCTCTGATATTTGGGAGCATTTTAGTCATGTTCTCCTTGATGGGAAAAATACACAACTCTTGCAACTTTAGGAAGGAGAAATTTAATTTTGTTCACTGTTTTCAGAGGACTTGGTCCATGGTCAGCTAGCTCCAACCCAGAAAAGACAGAGTGGAGGAGCCCATCTGAGGAAAGATACTCATATCAAGCATCAAGGAAGCGGAGGGCCAAGAAGGAGCCAGAGAGGGAGAGGACCCTTTTAGGCCACAGCCCCGGTGTCGTCCTCTTCTTTCTACATCTCCTAATAGGACACTGGGGGAGGAACTCTTCTGTGCAATAACCCATCTTGAGTACATTACACCCACAATCCAGGCATCATCCTTGAAAAGCCCCACCTCTGAGCATGGAAAGTTCAGGGGCACATTCTAGATTTAAAGCATAACCGGAACCTGACTTGGGTGCTTGTTTTGCTCTAATAAGATAAAGTATTGGCCTGTCCAAGCTTGAGCAAAGGAAATAATAATTTTTGTTAGTGAGTGCTTTCTGAGACTTTAAATTATATATATATATATATATATATATATATATGCATGTATATATTTATTCTGCCTTGCAAGTCTAGACTCTTAATTCAGATATTATATATTATCAGGGTCTAAGCTCAGAGTTCCAGTGTAGTAGTGCTATCTGGTCAATAATCAAATCATATAAATATTAAATAATAATCTTGTATTGAAATGAATGAGAAATATATTTTAAATATCGGCATAATCAGATGAACTATTAGCTAATAACTATTGTTATTAAATTTCAAAGTTACACAGCGAAGGAACGCTGTCACAACGAAGCAGCTCTCTTCAAAGTGTTTCTCCTTAACCATTTTTTTTTCTGCTTTAATTGAGTTTATTGGTACATTTTAGGGATACAGTACATTTACAGTTACATTCACTGTTGGGATCTTGTACCTCTACATGACAGGTCTTGGTTCTCATTTTTTCCCCTTGTCCCTGACCTCCCTTCACCCCCTCCTCCCCTCCCCATCTACAGCCAATTTATTTCCATCTTTTCATTATCTCACATTTATTTCTTTTCCCCTTTTGCCCTTCCACAGACCATCCCACCTTCCCTACACCTTTAGCTCCTTTCTTCCCATTTCTCAATGTCAGTACTCTTATTAGGATCTTCTGTATTATTGCAGATTATTCACACCAGAGGAACTATTCGGAATGTCAAAATGGTTAAGGAGCATATTGAAGATATACTCTTTAACTATTTTAACATTCAGGTTTTGTTTTAAATTCTTCTGAAAGAAGATGCTCGGTGTGGATGAGGACCAGCCCCCTCCTCCCCCCCTCCGGGGGCTTCGCTAGCATCTTTCGCTGAAGGAGCACCTGACTTTTTCCTTGGTCTGCAGATGGGATAGTTGTATATTCTTAGTTTTTACCTTTAAAACAAGTACCAAAAATAATAAATACCCGTAAAGTAGAAAGACCGACGGATGAAACTTCCGGTGCTGATTTCCTCAGGTTAGAGAAGTTAAATGGGGGAGAAACGTGACCAGAAAGTCAGCTCTTCCGTTAACTGGTCATCACAGAGGGCCTTCCTCCGCTGTGTGGGTCCCCCCACCCCACCCCATCCCCCTGCCTCTTTGACCCTCTGGACACTGTGACCACCCAGTCCAACACTGTCCTGAAAGGCCAAAGTGAATTGCAGCTGAACTTTGTGACAGTTCCTTGGGTGACACTGGACGAGAATGTCAAGGACTTATGTGACAGTTGTTTTGCCCTCTGTTTCTGCATTATTGTACCTATATTATTATATGTCCAGCTATAAACAAGATCCAAAGCCTGATTTTGAGAAGTGAGCTTTGAAATGACCAAGAAGTGGATCTAGTTAAAAGGTTTGTTAAGTGCACTGTAAAACAGAATTTAGTATGTTCATTTTGGTGCCCACTTTTTAAATCTCTAATGTTCACAGGGTGCAGACATACTCAGTGCCTTTTAAGTAATAGGAATTCTCAAATCTAAGGATCAAAGCAAGGGAAGAAGCAGAACTTTAAAATTATATGTTTGTTTAGTGATAAACAGATTTGAAATCATATTTTCCTTTGAAAAATTAAAATGCTGGGCTGGGGATTTAGTTCAGTGGTTCCACCGCCTTCCTCATAAGCTCAAGATCCTGCGTTCAATCCCCAGTATCAAAAAAGAAAGAAAGAAAGAAAGAAAGAAAGAAAGAAAGAAAGAAAGAAAGAAAGAAGAAAAATTAGAATACTAGTGATACTTGCCAGATTGATTAATTAAATTATATTATTTCCATCACAAAAAGTTTCTTCTCCTTAGAAAAAAGTGCAACTTCAGAACTGTATTTTGAAAATATAACTTTAAAACAGAAATCCATTAAAATGCAATTTTATTTACAAAAATTAGATACATGTAGCTTTTCAGAAACACCACAAAGCAGACATAGTCTGAAAGGCAACAGTGTAAAGAAGGGGATCTTACACATAGGCTTTTGTGTCTTCAAGACCAAATCCAAAATCAAGTTCTGAACTATATGGGTCAAAACCTCAAAATGTCTAAGCCTCAAGGCACTTCATCTTCAAAATGACAATTTCTGTAAAGATGCTTATCTTTAAAATAATCGCTACCTCGGAGTGTTACCACTTGATTACAGTGAAAAGTTAAAATACATATGTGAGAAAAGTTTAGTGCAAGTCACAGGACATTATAATTTTTTTTTGAAGTTTAGAAGCCTTTGGGGGAATCTGATGAAGCTTTTGTTTATATGGGGCACACTCTGGTATTTTCCACGTAATGAATAAAAACTAGGAAATGTTTTATTTAGTTTTAAAAATAACAAATAAAACATAATACACATGCTGGTGACGTATGTATTTTTATGAAAAAAAATTCTTTTTTTCCAAAATAAAATAAAATCTTTCAGTGACAACGTTGTCAGTTCAATTTCCCATGCTTCCAAATTTCCTGAAGTCAGACCTAAGTCTGCTCCACTATTACTGTTCTGCACCTGCATTGGATCTGTTGTACTGTCCCAGGTCACTGTCACTGGAAAATGCCACTGAGTAGTCAGGGCACAGTGAGAACTAAAGTGGCTATGACTTAGCATTGCTAGGTAAAATCTCCATAAGGACTAAGTCTTTCAGCCACCTTTAATATGCAATAATAGCTTAATTTATTGTTCAACTGCCTGCTTATCCACAGTCTCTTTATACTATATTGGAAAACAAAGATGAACATTTATCATATCTGGATGGTAATAAATGTTGAGTAAGAAAAACTTTATAAGCAATGTCACTCACCTAAAACAAAAATGTTATGGAAAAACGTGTCCGCATTGTATTATTAATTCTATTTAGAAAGAAAAACTAATATATTTCTAGCTTTAGAATATAAGACAATTCTTCATTGTACAAATGAAATGTAATTGAAGAGTCATTCTAATTTATTAGCTTTAACCAAGTTAATTAAATCTTTTATGGTGTTTAAGTGAAAGTTGTAGTCAAACATTAGTAGACCAGTAGGTACTATAATAGAGTTCCAGGATGCGTGTTGGAAATACTCAGTAACATGAAAAAAAAAGTTAACAATAATTGGATAGTGTTAACATCCTTTAGAATTTGGATCATTTGGTTATTTATAAGGCTGCATTTTCAAAATATGTTGGTTCTGAAATATGCTTTTCTTCCCTGCTTTAAAATCCAAGCCCCAAAACAAGGCATTTGCAAACAATATTAGGCTTTGTAATTTCATCTATTTAACTTTTTTGTTTTACCATACTATTTCTAACTAGAAAGTGATTATTTTGGTACAGCTGAGTTATTTGTAATAACTCTTAACCTAACATAGTATCTTAGGTGTTGTAGAAAAGTTGTGCCCTATTTTATGACTACACGAAAAACTGAGGAATCAGTATTGTGCAGAAAGGAAAGAAGTCTCTGTTTAAAAATAAAACAATATTCATATTACAAAATAACATATATAGTGGATGGAATTTCATCCTTGTTACCAACTGGTCCATACCCTAACAAATCACTGGATTGCAGATTTTGCAAAAGTCACACCTATAATGAAGTTTCCAGATGAAAGAAGAAATGTGGTGTTAATATTAAAGTATGCTTCCCAGCCATTTCTGATGCCAATTTATGTCACACTCTAGCGATGCTGTTATCCGGGAAGTTTTTTTTCTTTTCTTCACATCCAGATTCTCTGAGGAAAAGAACAAACACCTACAGGTTTTTTTTTTTAATTGTTGTTTTTTAGAAGCAAATTGCTAGTTTCAACGGAAAGGCTCACCGAATAAGCACTGAGGAGGTGTTCTGATTCCCTCTAGGTTCTCCGCAGCAACAGCTTGCTGGAGTCCACAGACTACTGGTTGCAGAATCAGAGAACGCCCTGCCAGATTGGTTTTGTGGAAGATAAGTCTGAAAACTGTGCTTCCGTAAGTACACAGAATTCTGAGATATTGGATAAAGAGAGTCAAGGTGGCACAGGTATCTGAGGTTAAGACAGAAATTTCATAATTGATTAAATGCCAGATTGGAAAAGTATTCTTTTGAAAATGTATAACTGGTTTATGTAGACTGTTAGTAGAGAGAGCTAATATTTTTACATCAGTTTTGTTCATTTCAAAATGTAAGTTAATCTGATCAATTCTCTGAAAAGAAGACGCATTTTTTAAAAATGACTAAGAAAAAAATACATAAATAGAATTGTACCTTGAAAATAATTTTAAATGCCCTCATCAACTCTCCTGGATTATTTTGAATATATTTTATAACACTTTCTGTAGGCATTTTACAATATGAAAACTGTGCAAATATTTTCCACCATTCTTAAGAGTTATAGAAATTATTTGAAAATCCTTTCAGCCTAAGAAATAAACAGGCATGCACTTTAATCCATTGGAACTGTGCTTTACGTATAAAACCTTTCTTTTCCAGGAAAGGGATGCTCTTATAGATAAACAATATGAGTCTCACAGCTTACACTGCAAATATACAATTTTGATGTAAATGCTCCTTCCTATACATTCTGCCTAGATGTAAGTTTCATTTTCATTAAAATGATCTAGCTCTTGTGAGGTCGTGATAACAGAGATTGTGGGGAGCAATTTCAAAAAGGAGAAAAATATAATGTACTTCTCCTCACTAAATTGAGAGCAACAACTCTGAGCTATTCCTGGAGGTAAGTTATGTGCCAGCATTCTTTTTAGAAGGAAAAAAAAAAAGCTGAAATGGGATGGGGGGGCTCTTTCTATACACCTGACAGATATACTCCTTGCAGGCAGGGCGTGTGAAATGTTCCAGAGAAGAGTTTCCCAGCACAAGGAATATGCAGTCCACTTAACACTCTTAAGTGAAGCTCTTTCTTTAGGCTAATGAGTGTGATTCTGTGACTTTTCCTACTTTTGATCACTTTTCCAGAAAACTAATTTCTGGCTAAAAAAAATCTTTGTAGAAAATGATTAGGATTAAGTGGCAATCAGTTTAACAGTAATACCTCCTTTGCAAATTCAACTCTGAAGTGAGTAGGAAAATTCAGGCATTTGCTGATGCAGACATCCAATTACTGAGCTCTGCAATGCAAAAGAGGGAGAAATGGAAAATACAAGTCATCAGTGGCCACCCTTTGGTCGAAGCTATCATCCAAACAGTTCTTATTTTACAAAGCCTTCCACTTGAAGAACACACACAAATTGAGGTAGTGAGAGCTACCTCTAAAATCTAAATCTCCACATCTAAAATCAATTCTCCACATCACCATGAAAACAAAAATTTATTTAAAGGAAAACAATATGGTCACATTTTAACAATGTCTTCATAAAAGCTTTTTTTTTTTTTTTTTTTTTTTTTTTTTTTTTTAAAATTTTTTTTTTTTTTTTTTTTTTTTTTTGGTATTGAGACTTGAACTCCGGCGCAGCCCTTGTGCTTGCAAGGTAGGTGGCAGTATCACTGAGCTAAATCCCAGCCCCATAAAAGCTTAATTTTAAAAATAATGCTATTAAATCATTTCAAACCCAAAGCTACTAAAAACAAAAAAAAGAAAAACAGAATCTGAGGAACCCATAGTGATACTAACCTATACTTTATTGCTCTGTAATCTGTTCGTAACTCTGGGAAATCCTACTCTAAGTTAATTGCTGCTGTAACTCATTTTTTCATGACCAAAATTAGTAGCCACCTTTTCATATCCAGTTGAAACCGGTTTCATATTTATTGCAATTAAGTCCATGTATTTAGATTTGTGGTTTCTTTGAAACTGAGTGCCTCCGAGTGCCACGGTTTTCTGAATTTGAGATACCTACTTGAAATTTTTTTGAAGGATGGCCTCAGTATTGAAACCACTCAAGATGTTATGTCCATATCTCTGTACAAATGGTTTATTTTCAAGCATTGAGGCATGAGTTGTATTTCTTCAGCGTGGAACTTCCTGTCTTCCACGTCTAATATGAAGAGTCTTAACAAAGACGGGTTTGAAGCAGACAGAAATATGATTGGCCATCCCAAAATGAACCATTGGCCCAGGGAGACCCTTGAAATCCAGCTTTCAGTAGATTTTCAGAGGATATCAAGTACGAAAACTGTGTTTTCAGTTTCCTAAATGAAGTTCTTTTGTCAAACAATAGAACACTATTTTCTTTCTAATTTTTCCATTTGTGAAAAAATAATATTCATATACTAACTTTCAAGGTATGGCTGTTTTTGTTGGTTAGCTTTTATGATTTTTGGTTTTTGTCTGTGCATTTTTAGATGTAATTATTTAAGGAAGAAATGTAGAGGAGAGTAGTGAGATTGGAAACCAATCTCCAAAACCTGGATAACCAAGGCATTATTTTAATAGAAGTTTTTAACATTAGTAATGGGAATTGGACTTCTCATTGTTTTTGTCCTTTTTTACCTTTTTGAAAATTAAAAGCTAAATTAGTCTTTTAAAATTCTCTACTGATTTGTGCTTTTTACTGGTATTTAGTTTTTTATTTTTCAGGAATCATCTTTTGGTTTAATGCTTTATTAACATTACTTTGACTATATTATTTCTGCTCCCAGCTACTGTCAGATTTTTTCCACATTTATCTTTTTAAGACTCCCAAACAAAGTATGTTCTGTTTATAGCAGACACTTTAGTTGATGAATCACAGTACTTTTAAATGTCATATTTGTCTTAAAGATATAAATAAGTACATCAAGCTTTCAAGAGACCTTCAACATTATACTCATAAAAAATAATAAATATAACAGCTATTCTGTAGGTCTCACATGCTAATGCAACTCAGAGGCAAAAATTAGAAAATCTATATGACTATTATTTTATATTTCCTCCAAATATATCTATACTCTGTCTATGTGCATCTTAGAAAAAAACAGCATTATTAAGTGTCTCGTTGCATAAGTGTTTATATGCAAAAATAGTCACATGACCAAGGAAATTCATAACTCTAGAACTGTGAAGGAACATTTGTAACTATCTTGTTAATAAATTTACCAAGTTTTCAAGCAAATTTTTTTTCTTTTAAAAATCAGGTTAGAAATTTATTTTTAGGTCTTTAATTTTTTTTTTTTTTTTTTTTAGACAGGGTCTCACTATGTAGTTGAGACTGTCCTGGAAGTCACTATGTAACCCAGGCTGGTCTCAAACTCACAGCGATCCTCCTGCCTCAGCCTCCAGAGTGCTAGTATTATAGGTGTGCACCACCTTGCTCAGCTTTTAGGTCTTTAATTAGTCTCTCAACCACAGCGATCCTCCTGCCTCAGCCTCCAGAGTGCTAGTATTATAGGTGTGCACCACCTTGCTCAGCTTTTAGGTCTTTAATTTTAACTGCAGGAAACATGATACTAAGAAATGTCAGTTTTCCCAAATGATCCACCTTTGCTATAAAACTGTGCTAAAAAGGGCATGCTTATAAACTGGGTAAAAGAAAGAGGAATCAAGAATCACTCCATTGATTTTTGGGTTAAGCTCTTAGATGATTTGATTTGTCATTTACTGTGATGGAGAGACTAAAAGAGAAAGGAAGAGGGGAGAGAGATGCTTAATGTCCTCTCCTCATGTCATACAACTAGAGAAGTCAACCAGTGGTTAGGTGTGCAAGTTGGAGTTGTTGTAGAGTTTCTGACAAGAGGTAGAGATTGAGTGTCTTCAGTTGGTCCTCAGAGAGCAGAGATCAGCCCAGCTAGGAGCTGTGTAAACAGAGAAGGGGCTTACGCTGAGCTCTGGTCACTCAAAGAGGTTCCCAATTAATGAACTGGATGTCTCATGGTCCCCCAGAGGTAGCAAGAGATTAATATTTGATTATGTAAGCTCGAGTTTCTCATACATAATAACATTTTATATATCTTGACATTGTTGCTACCAAAAATACAGTTAGATGAATAGTGTGCTTTTAAAGCCTAAGTGTTTGTACCATTTCTCAGCTGTTTTAGTTTTGACAGAAAAAAATATTATGAAAATAGTTCAGAATAACTTCAAGTTCCAAATTGTCAACACTTCCTGCTATTGTAGCAATTATTCTCTGAGAATAGGAGAAAGCCCATCAATCACACAAAACTGGCAACAATAAATAATTGTTCTTATTAAAATACCTTTAAACTTGAAAGACATTGACTACATAATTTTCTATTTCCTTTTAATAGAATTATTTGCTTGACTAACCTGTATTTCCTAGTCAGTCCTTCTACATTCCCAGAAAACTAGTTAGTTTTTTTTTTTTAACTTAGGTTCTCAAGGTAAATTTTAGGTATGTGTATATAAAGAAAGGTGAGTTTAGTTAATAACTGACATAGGGTATCTTTTGTTATCTGTAGCTTCTGGAGTAGTAATGGTCTTATTTGTAATAATGAGACATATTTGCTCTGAAGGCTTATTAAGAAATGAGAAAATACTAAAAGAAGCAGAATTTCTGTCCTTCCACCTTTGATATTATACTTTCTTTGAGCCCAGAGAGAGTCCTTGCTTTGTATCATAGACGTCACTTGACTTATTGTCTAGTTCATGGTGCCTTTAATGTTGGGGGTATTTCACTGGAGTATCTGGAAATGTTCAGTGTACTCTACAGGAGCTACAGAAGTGGCTGAAAATGGAGTGAAGGAAAGTTTGGCCCTTGCTAAGTTCTGCCTCCGGTTTGGTTTAAAATAGTCATTAAGCAGAAAGCTTAGGTCAGCAGCAACCAGGGAAATTTTAATAGGCACCCAGGAGTGAATTCTTAACAAACAAGGTGTTCCACCCTTATCTCTTTTGAAATATTGGGCTGAATAATTCCTTATTCATAGTGCATAGACTAGCCTGTGCAATGCAGGATGTTGTGTAACATCCCTGATCTCTACCCACTAGATGGAGTTAGTGACCCTCTCTCCAAATTATGACAAACACAAATGTTTGCAGACATTGTCGATGTCTCCTGGATATGGGGTAAAGATAGGAAGCAAAGGTGGGAGGAGAAGT